CCGACCGAGGGACGCCCTCTCCTTTACATATCCTCCTATACATAGGATGGATATCATATAGCTTGACTAATAAATTATTTGATGCTATCTTCCACAATGTTTTTCTAAGCAAACTGAATTAATGTGAACTAGATGAAGTTGCTGTCTGGCAGATGCAGGAGACTCCTTGGAAATTATGGCTCTTGATGGCTCATTGTTCTAAAAGCAAATAGTTCAGTGGCATCTGCAGGGGACTATCCCACATCCATTTAATATTGAGTGTTTTAATTAACTGTTTAAAAAGAGAGCAAGCTTCATAAATGTGCAGATAACACCATCCCCAGAGGAACTGCAGATTTGGAGGAGTTCAAGATTAGATTTGAAAGTAATTTTGACAATGGAATGAAACTTGGAAAAATAGAGAATGCAATTCAGTAAGAACAAATGCACTGCTCTCTACTTTCTTGTAATCAAGTGCACACATAAAGGATGAGAGAAATGTGTATATGAGCATCATTGGTAAAGCTGTGGTGGCTGCTGATGGCAGCACTGGGGTTATGTACACTTGTGGTCTTGCTTAAACAAAGCAAAAGAACAGAGGCCCAGCAATGTCTGTAATGGCATCATCACACAATGTAATGGCAGCATCACACAGTGTGCAGTGCCATTAACTATATGTTAACATATGGTAACTATATGTGAACAGTGCTCTGCAGTCAGGATGCTGTGGGGAAAAAAAAAAAAAAAAAAACACATCTCTAGCTGCAGTGACTGGCCAGTATGTTAAAATTAAATCAAGAAAAGTTCTCTCTTGTTGAGCAGGCCTGCCTGTCACTGATGTCAGGGAAGTGGGGGCTTTAGTGACTCACAGCTCACTGTTTTAAGAAGAAAGGGCATGTGGCCTCTGAATTGCCTGCGTCTCCTCACAGAAAGGGCAGCCCTGCTTCTGTAATGGCTTAGAGGAGGAGAGAGTCACTAGGTTCCTTCCATGAATGTCTACTGAGTAGACACCCAAGCACAGACCCAGGAAGCACACTCAGTAAGAAATATGAAAAGCTAACACTGCTCCCTCCTTCCCATGCAGAGCTGAGGGGGAAACCAGATGCCCAAATAATGACACACTTCCAGAATAGAAATAACAGACTGACTGAATGAAAAGGTCAGCACTCAGAACAAAGTCGTGTTCTGTCTGGTTTTGTGTTTTGCTTTCTCAAGCCTACCTGAGCATAGCTTTTGTCATTTTTTAAAAAATTAATACTCCCAAGTTGAAATCTATTCTAGTTATAGCACAGATCTGTCAGAGTTTGAAATATAAACTGGGAAGGACGAGCAGGAGTTCACTTGCATGGAGATACGCAAGCTAGCTCAGGTCCAGACACAGCTGTGTTAATGCACTGCTCCTGTTGTTTGACAGTTGTGCTGCACTGTCAGGATACATTAGCCAGAGTAAGTGACATGTTAATATGGCTTTGATGCTTCCAAGACCGAAACTGGTGTATTCTGCTTGGCATTTTATTGTGCAGCATGGATATGCCCTTTGACCAAAAGGCCGAGTTCAGTTGAGGTCGCTTTTAGTGAAGAGACGAGATAGGCATTTTTGGTGGGAGAAACACTTGCTGTAGCACTGAAAATACCAGCTCAGCTCTTGCAACCTTCCAGGCATCCCATACCTTCCTTATGCTGAATAAAAGAACTGTTTTAGTTCTTATTTTCTTCCCATTGTTTCTACTTTGTAAGGCTGTGAGTTGCTGCTAGTCTGAGCTGCCCTCATCTTTGCCCCTCAGGCCTATGCACTGGAAGGGAATCTGGAGCTGGAGTTGGTGAGAACAGCCTGCATGTGCAAAGTGGTGATCTGCTGCCGGGTAACTCCACTGCAGAAGGCACAGGTAGTGGAGCTGGTGAAGAAGTATAAGAAGGCTGTGACCCTGGCAATCGGAGATGGAGCCAATGATGTCAGAATGATCAAAAGTGAGTAACAGCACTGTGTCCTGGCTGATGGCCAGCATGCTCTAGCAAACGGATGGGCTGTTGTGCTGCCATTACCTGCAATGTGAAGTGGGCAGGAGCAGCATTTTGCTGCTCCTGCCTATAGGGTTTGGCAGCAGAAATGCTTATTTGAGTGGCTTCTGGATATTCTTCTTGGTGGAATCACGGTGACTGGGTCCAAATTTCTGGAGGTTTCTACAGAGCAGTTTCACTTTGGACCACTTGTATCTGCCGTCAAGGGTACACAAGTCTGGTGCTCTAGTGGCTATGCTCCTGCCACCAGAGACTCAGGAAACTACGACTGCATTTACTATTTCTTCATTTCTATCCACTGATCTTTCAAGCAATGTTTTGTTTACGGCTTTGTTACTGGGAGATTATGCTAAAACCTGGCAATATTGAGCCAGCATGGGCACTTTACTAGACTTAACAGAATAGGAAGCTAAACTGCCTGCAGGGAAACTCCTCAGCCCTTATGTCCTGTGCCAATACACAAGGATTCAAATTTGTCAGTACCCTGGTGGTGTCAGATTGACCTTCCTCTTCTCAGATTTATATCCACTGGTTCTCTCACTCTACTGCTCCCTGGGGTCAGGTGTCTCTCACTTCTTGCCTCCTGTGTAGAAAAAAAGCCTGTAGGAGCTGTGACATGTCTACCTATATTTGTGTGACTACCATCACAGTGGAAATGCAGAGAATAAACAAATTTATTCCAGAGAGATGGCCTATCAGCAATGCAAAAGGAAAATCTTCATGCTTGTAAATATTATGTATAGCGTTATATGATTTTTTATGATTTTTTTTAACATTTCCATTGTTACAGCAAACAGGCCTCTACCTTATTTGTCCTTCAGTATCATTTAGTGCTACATTACCTCAATGAACTTATGAAAAAAATCCCTTAACTAGGTATAATTAAATTAAGATTATTCAGAAGGGCCTATTACTAATCTTCCTTGTGTTAATTTGTAAAAATTGATCAACTGGAGCCTTTTAATTAAGAAAGCAAAGGCTAAGTAGGAAGCTTCAAGGGAGATAAGTCAGGCAGATAGTCAAGAAAGGATAAGAAAAGCAAGTTAAAATATACACAATAATTAGAAATGAACCTTGCCACTACAAGAGGGTTGGGACTTTGGGATTTTTATCAATCAATCAGCTCACTGTTCCATGGAAACCTCTCGATCTAAGCAACCTCCAGCTATCAAGATTGTTCTCATTAGTTAAAGCTGTATAATTAGCTGTCACATTAAACTTATGTCCATGTTTAATAAACCCAAGTTACTATTAAAAGAGACGTGACTGCTCTGTTTAATTATTTCATTCAACTGATAAGGCCCAGAAAATATAAAATGATTACAGTCTGCGCTTTAGAAATCTGTAATGAGTTTGTTGGTTTGGAGCAACGTTTTAGGGCAGCTAAAAGAACATGCATGCATATAACAAGTCACATCTCAATAGAAATTAAAGACATTTCTTCATAACAACAGTGATGCTCTGTGCCATTGATAAACATTAAGAATGAAAACATATATTGTCACTGAGGGTATAATTCCATTCAAATAACATAAACCCAGTTATTGTAAATATATCACCATAGCAAAAATTGTGCTGATGCTAATGGAAAAAAAATAGTTTTTCCAAATCTTTTTTTTTTCCATAAATAACTTTACGTTTGACTTTTTTTCTCTTCAGGATAGGAAGGAATTAACATAGTGTCCCAGTGTGGAGGACATTAAAAACTGGAGTTATCAAAGCTCTGAATGTAATGACATAGCCAATGCTCTTGTTGCAGCTGCCCACATTGGGGTTGGCATGAGTGGCCAGGAGGGGATGCAGGCGGTCTTGTCCAGTGACTTCTCCTTTGCACAGTTCCGTTACCTCCAGCGCCTGCTCTTAGTCCATGGCCGGTGGTCCTACATCCGCATGTGCAAGTTCCTCAAATACTTCTTCTATAAGAATTTTGCCTTCACATTAGTGCATTTCTGGTATGGTTTCTTCTCCGGCTTCTCAGCGCAGGTAATTCAGCTTCTGTTTTCTCATGATCATGTTTAGCGTTTTCAAGCAAAGTATCTGGAAACATTTTAAAAGTGTAAATAAACCATTCCCTGTGCCTCACTGAGAGGTACACATCCAGTAGTGGATGCTTAGAAAGCAGAATTAGTATAAAGCGATCCTTCCCCCCTGCATATTCCCTCAGCTTCTGGTAATGAACAGCTGTGCATGGTTGAGCTTGACATTATACTTTTGGTCTCAGAACTGTTTTGAACGAAATGTTCCAGCATTTCATATATGTTGTTCATGTGTTTAGGAGAGATGGAAAAGGCAGCCTTTTGCTAACTCCATGCTCTGCTTTTCTCTTTAGACTGTATATGATGAGTGGTTCATTACGCTTTACAATTTGGTATATACCTCCCTCCCGGTGCTAGGAATGAGCCTCTTTGATCAGGTATTGTTTCTATCACTATCTGGATTTTTTTTATAAGGGTGCTTTGAACCAGTTCCATAAAGCAAAAGCAGCTGACCCTTTGGCTAACTATTATTGTAGCCCTTGCTACAATAATACAAAATTGCTACAAATTACAAATACAAATACAAATACAAATACAAAATTTGCTACAAAATTTCTTGCCAGTGGCCACCAGGATCACAAGAAAAGGATGCATAGTAGTGCCTTGAACTGGACAGCAGGTTTCAGTGTGCGGTGGGAATTTTGAGTTAGCCTGTTGACTGCAATAAAATCTGCTATTGCAGCACTCTCCTGATATAGCCATGTCCTAATAGCTCTGTTCCCTAAAGCCTGACTAGTACTTTTTAATGACCATACATAACAGTGAATGAACTAGACCTCTGAAGATCTCCTAAGCCAAGCTTTCATTGTTCAGTGTTTTTTAATGGAGCCCTTCCTGCAGTAATTTCACATATGCATTTTTACCTCAGATGTTGTTATTGTTCAACAATACATAGAAGCAATAAAACTGCTCCTATGTGCCTTTTACAAATGAGGAGACACTTGCCACTTAAACAGTGGTTCATAGTGTTCAGCTCTTTCAAGGAATCTAAGTTAGAGGGCCTTGCCCATGTGTGAACCCAGTGGAGGTATTTCCTATCCATTAGCTTCTAAGAACATTTCAGGAGAGCAGAACATGCAGCCTGCTTAAGAAGAAATGTGCCTTCATTTTTTTGGCAGCACTTATCATTTTTTTTTTTTTACATCAGGAGAAAGGTGAAATTCAATATGTAAAATAGGTCTGGGTGACCTTGGGATGTGGTATGCTAGTGAGCACAGATAAGTAAATTGTGTGCAAAGCCTTTTCTTGGGGAAATATGCATTCTCAGGGGTGTGACAGCATTAAGTGGCCTTGTGAGGTCAGTTGTGTAGTGCCAGCAAAAGGCTCTAATGATCTCCTCTCTGCTTTCAGGATGTGGATGATCGCTGGAGTATGCTATTTCCTCAGCTCTATGTGCCTGGACAGCAAAACCTCTACTTTAACAAAATAGTGTTTGTCAGCTGCATGTTGCATGGGATCTACAGTTCCCTCATCCTCTTCTTCATCCCTTATGGGGCAATGTACAATACAATGAGAAGCGATGGGAAAGCTATTGCTGACTATCAATCCTTTGCACTCATGGCCCAGACCTGCCTACTGATTGTGGTGTCTGTACAGGTAAAGCATCCCTGGAACTGCTTTTAGGAATTAGTTATTGTTTTATGAAGGCAGCATGTAGAGGAGCCACTTGAGATCCTGATAGCGTTTTGTTTGCTGCTGCATCTTTCAGTCTTTCTAAGAATGTCTCTTGACACCAGATTATTCTCCTCAGTTCAACAGTACAACAAATTTGAGTGTCATGAAGGATTAGGGCCACAGGAAGACAGAACCTCTGCTTTGTGTAGTTCACAGTCATAGTAAAGAGAACAGTTACATCTGAGAGAAGAGAAGGACTCATATCCGTTTTTCAGGATGGGGTAAAGCATAGGATTGTCTACTATCAGGAGTCATTTGTAAGGTCTCTATCGTGGTGCTGCCTCTCTGACCTGGTTCAGTGTGTGATGCTACAGATGCACTTGCTGGAAGTGGCTGAGATTAAGACAGTGAAAAACTCAGCTGATATTGGCAGGTTGAGAGAAATTTCTCAAAAAAAAAAAAAAAGCTAATCTATCTCACCTCTCTAGATCATGGCCTCTGCTGTTTGAGATGTTGTAGGCTCCTTCTATTTTTCAATAGCTAGATTGCAGCATGAGGTAAGGACATAAGCAATGGCTAAATGTAGTAATGCTTGGCTTCAGTGTTCTTCCAGCATCATATGATCTGTGGCTTGGGTATTTCTTGAGCCTTGAATTGTGTCTGTGCATCTTACAGTACATAGTTTTTCTAATATGGGTTCCTGGGAGAGGCCAGGAGCTTCTCTCTTGGTTATTATAGAGAGAATATGTATATAGTTTGGAACAAGGAAGTACAGATGGCATAACAGATACCCATCTCGAAGGATGAGATGAGTTACAGAGTGGTGGACAAGATCTCTAGCTGCATTCAGCATAGATATGCTAAATAATTGAGGCACTGACAGCAGCTGTATTGCTCCATTCTTTCAGATTGGCTTGGACACTGCTTACTGGACAGTTGTGAACCAGTTCTTCATCTGGGGCAGCCTTTCTGTTTACTTTGCCATCACCTTCACCATGTATAGTGACGGCATGTACCTGATCTTGACAGCCTCGTTCCCCTTTGTTGGTAAGCTCTGTGACAAATCTCAATGGCATTCAAAATGGACGAACTGCTGCAATTAATTCTGTCAAATATTTCTAGTGTGTTCATAGGAAGAGCTCTCAAAAAGGCAATAGCTGCCATGTGTACAAGAAATGCCATGGTATTTCTGCGGGTTGCTGGGAATGCTTATTTTGAATCCCATCCATCCGTGTGGATGTGTCCCATGTCCACTTCCTTGCAAAAGCATGCACATTCAAACAGCCACAGGAACGATCCTTTAAATAAGTCCACAGAAGTAGATTAAAAACTTTCTGTTAGCTCTTTTGCTATTCATTTCCAGATGTCCAATCCTTACAAATATTTAGCAGCGTTTTGTTTGCAGAAGTATGTGTGTTCTCTTCTAAATAAATTCATGTGTTGGTGTGGGAAGGCATAGAAATCCAGCAACCTTACTCTACATAAAATCTTTCTGAAAAAATGCAAAAAGTGAATAATAAAAAAAAATGAATCTCTCTCCTGAGACTCCTGAGATTGTGAGCAGGAGGAAGACAAAAAAATTAATGAAATAATTTAAACATTTTAAATACCTGTCTATATCCAGTACTTATAAAACTTTCTTTTGAAATGCCACCTCTAAAATCTCAGTGTTTATTGTTTCAAATATCAAGTTGATGAGTAATCAATGCTTTTCTTTTTGGATTTATTAATTCATTTGTTCTGTCTACCTGCAGTACCAAGGTGCTTGGCCATTTTAGAAATATCTGAGATTCAGGTCAGTTGCAAAATATTTTCCTTGTAGGTGGCCAGAACCACCGTAGAGATGACTTTTAGTATCAAAAGTCCTGAGTGAGAGAAGGCAGAGTGTCTGTTCAGTTTTCAAAGACAGCTTGTAACTCACTTACCAGGGACATCTATATGTGCTGCTCTGTTGATACTGCCTAGGCCAAAGCATCCATAATGTTGAGTACCACTTAGTAAGGTCTCACTATGAGACCGTTTCTAAGGAAATTTCTTCAAGTCTGCCCTCAGTTAACCTGATTGCTTTAATTTCAGCATAGTTGTAATACAGCAGAATTTGTCTTACTGAAAAGAAAACATTCAGCAATTTTACTGACAACAACAGCATCATTAAATGTTGTAATGAGGCTTTTGCTGGCAGTTTGTTCTATCCTGCATTCCTTCAGTTTTTGGAGGAGCCAAAAGTGAAAACTTTCATTTCAAAGAATGTGTCAGTGTCATGTTACCACATGGCAGCTGCTTTGCCAACATACCCTTTAGACTACTCTGTGCATTTTGCTTTCATTAAGGACTGTGATCATACCACCTATTGGACAGTACTTCATATGCTTCAGGAAATAGTCCTGGCAAATAAGGAAGAAATATTCTTTCTTTTTAACTGAAGTCCTGGCAAAAGGCTAGCAGGCTGGATTGTGGCTGAAGTAGGTCTCTCAAATATTTATCTATCAATCTGTTGCAGTGATTTAACTCTTTGTAATGGGATGAAGTATTCACTCTTCCATCTTTGTCTCCCTGAGTAGTGCAGTTTACCCTGAGTGTTGTTTTCTTCTTGGCTCATCTATGACAGCTATGATGATGTTACTGTCCTCTCTGTAGCAAGCTGATTTCACTGTTGGATAAAAGAGTCTACTTTATATTTTGATGTGTTTGCTAAGTGCTTTGGGAGCTCAGAGAATGGGAGATTCAAGGTGAATAAGGGTGAGAGGTGCTGCTGTCCTGGTTTTAATGATGCTCTTATTTTTCAGGTACGACTCGAAACACCCTCAGCCAACCAAATGTGTGGCTAGCAATCTTCCTCAGCATCATCCTCTGTGTGCTGCCTGTAGTTGGCTATCGTTTCCTGAAGACTCGGTTAAAGCCCACTCCCAGTGATAAAGTAAGGAGATAAACTCATAAGCCAGAAATCCTTCTTGCTGCCACCTCAAGTTACTGCAAGGCCTTATTGCAGGGGCCTGGCATTGCTTGGTTTATATCCCTAGAGGTGCAAGTGCTGCAATCCTTCTGTCTCCTAGTCCCTTAAAAGGAGGATTGAGCATGTGTTTTGGCACAGTTCAAACCATCTGCGGCTGGGAGCAATGCTGAGATTATTCAGACATGGATTGGATTGCACTGGAGTGAGGAAGCTTCGCTATTTTTAGGTACAGGGTTTCAGGGTGCGGCTCAGTGGCAACGTAGGGGCATATTTCACAGTCAGCAGTGATCTTGCTGCCATACAGTTTTTAACTTGGCAGACTGCACTCCTCCATCCCCCAGACATGCATACATGTTTGCTAAGGACTTTTTGGCTTGAGAATTTACTTTCTTGATAGCCAATAGTTATATTCCTTCACTGGAACCAGCTGCCTTCCCATATCCCAAAATATGAAGATGAGGCCATTAGGGCAAGGAGAGGCTGAGAGAGATGGAAGGGGCAGAAGTGCCCAGCTCACTACAGCCAAGGAACTCCTGAACAAAATGAGTGTAAACACAGCTCCCCGGGCTGCCTTTCAAACAGGGATATCTGCTAAATATTGCTGCCACCTCGTGCTTCCTTCCTCTTCCTACACCAAACTGTGAGACAAGTATCTCTGAGCAAAGTCTCAAGGGATGGCTCTTGGTCCTCAGTGGCTGCCTTGATCATCCTTGGGATGTCTGTAAAGGTCCCCAGATTCACTAGTCTCATAAAAAACTTTTATATATTGGAGATCCCCTTCAGCAGTCTGTTTTCTAAATTAAGACATTTTTTCAATCTTTATTTATAGATCAGGCTTTCTGGACTTCTTTGAATTTCCTGTTTTTTTT